AGTGTCTTAGTCGAAAATAATACGTCAACTGGCAATTAATACTCGTTTGAACAACAAATATAGAGATTTGTTTCTTATGAAAACTAATTTCAAAATAATTGTGCTTCAAGCTGGAGAGTGATCAACACTTAGACTCTATTATTGAAATGTATGCATTTGTAAATTATGCAAATATGCTTGTGCGAGTATGCATATAACCAAAGTCTAAACGCATTAACGAAATAAGTACGCATTAACCAAATAACTCATATATGCGAATATAGCTTGGGCGAGTACGTATATAACCAAGCAATTATTTAACGTGTTTTATTTTAATGAATTATTTAACATGTTTTAGTTCTTACGTTTTAAAACTCTTATATTGTAATATTGTATGTTTATTTATAATATTATCTTACGAACTTTATATGTTTTTAATATTAAATTTAATTTTGTAATAAAAAGAAATTGAACAAAAATAAATAAATAAAAAAGAATAAAAACATTAAAAAAAAAAAAAAAAAAATTAAAAATTAAGAAAAAAAAAAACGTTCAACAGCGGTTTCTCTGTGACAAGACCTGATGGTCTTCTTTGAGTATCCGCGTTCTTTATAATTATTTTTATTCTTTATTACTTAACGATATCTTGACTTGTTACCTTTTCTTTTTTCTTATTTTTTATATTATTTGTATCATAAATATTGTAATAAAGAACAAAAAAAGAAAGAAAAAAAAATTTTGAAAACTTGATATCGACGTCAGAAACATGCTCTAAGACTAATCTGCCATAAAGATAAATTTACACACGCTGAACCCTTATTTAACATTTATCAAATTAACATTTACCAAAATATATTGTTTATGCTAAAACTTAAATTAGGTCAAACACCAAACCATTTTTAAATAAATTTTTAAAAAATAATGTTAATAAATATAACACAAGAGAAACAAGATATATAACAAGATATATAACAAGAGAAGCAGGAAACTTTATTACACCTTTCAAAAAACAAAACTTTCCGAGTTCTCAATTTCATATCGGGGTCTTTATTTATACAAAAAACTAGTAACTAAAAATAAATCAATTTGCAATCTAGATTACCAAAATTTCTTTAAAACAAAGTTAAAAGATCTGACACTGAATCTAAACAGATACTCTGAATTCTTTGAAGACTATAAATTAAAATACATATATATCAACTACAAAGTGAATTGACTCGTTTATGTGTATTATCTAAATGACTCTTACTTTTCTCAAACAATATATCAAAAATTGTTTATTACACACAAAAAAAAAAAACACTTGATTTTTTCTTATCAAGTTTAGTTATTATGCTGCTTGTAATGTCTAATTTTTTATACCGAGCTTATTTTGAGTTTATTTTTTATTATGAGCTTAATTTAAAGATTATAAAGATATAGTTGTACTTAATATATAATTATATTTAACATAATCATATTATATATCAAATACATCTTACACCTTAAATTTACGAAACTTGTAAATGTTATATATACGGCAAATATATATGAATATATATATATATATATATATATATATATATATATATATATATATATATATATATATATATATATATATATATATATATATATATATATATATATATATATATATATATATAGATAGATAGATAGATATATATTTATATATATATATAAATATATATATATATATATATATATATATATATATATATATATATATATATATATATATATAAATATAAATATATATATATATATATATACATATATATATATATATATATATATATATATATATATATATATATATATATATATATATATATATATATATATATATATATATATATATATATAGGGGTGGATCCAGCATTTTTTGGTGTTTGAGATAGCTAACTTCCAGCCATGTAGCTAACTCCAAAAATTTATATGTTTATACTTATGTCAAATAAGGATGGTTTGCAAAAAATTGCAATTATTGGAGCCTGGGAACAAAAAAGCCCCAAAATTTGAGACGTACCTGCCCCAAACGTGAGAGCAACAAGTTGATAAAATATTTTTTGTACTATTCTCAACAAGACTTATATTTATCAATAAATTTTAAATTTCATCGTAAAATATTTTAGCGCTCAAAAATTATGACCATATAAAAATTGTAACCCCCTCGAATTGAGGGGGATTCAAACTTTACATGGTCATAATTTTTGAACGCTGAAATATTTTACAATGAAAATTTAAATTTATGGATAAATATAAGTCTTGTTGAGAATAGTACAAAAAATATTTTATCAACTTGTCTAATTTTTTATACCGAGCTTATTTTGAGTTTATTTTTTATTATGAGCTTAATTTAAAGATTATAAAGATATAGTTGTACTTATATATAATTATATTTAACATAATCATAATATATATCAAATATATATATATATATATATATATATATATATATATTATATATATATATATATATATATATATATATATATATATATATATATATATATATATATATATATATATATATATATATACACACACAAACAAAACACTTGATTCTTTTATTATCAATTTTAGTTATTAGCATAATAGCTTGTTATGTTTAATTTTTAATCCTGAGCTTATTTTGAGTATATTTTTTATTTTGAACTTATTTTAATTTAAAGACTATAAAAAAAGAGTTTTTATTTAATATATAATTATATTTAACATAATCATAATATATACCAATCGCATTGTAAGGGCTTCGTGATAAGATCATTACGATCTTTTTGAAATCCGGCCCGTACTATTTAATTATAAATTTCATTACATATTTTGACTCACGAGACTTGTAAATATTACACCTTTAATTTATGAAACTAGTAAATGTTATATGTACGACAAAATATAAGAAAAAAAGAAAAAAAATGCGGTCATTACTAAATTATGAATTAATAATTAAAATATTCATTACTAACTAAATTATGCAATAATAAGTGCCTTATAATAAATGATAATAAGATTTATAATAAATAGTAAATACACTAATTACTATTTATTATAAATCTTATGAAGTCTTTGACATTTTCTAAAGTTGAATAAAAAAAAAATTAATATCAGAAAAATTTAATGAAAATGAGGGAAAAACGTTAAAGAAAATGGTTACATTATCTCTATAATATATCTCCAAAATAATGGAATAATTATAACAGAGTTTTAAACCTAAATACTGTACTGCATATTGTTTTAAATTAAATAAATATAAAATCTGTTGCACCCAAAACATTCCATCAATTTCAAAAAACCGTAATAGGTCTGTAATTTAAACCATTTTTTTTGGTTAACTCCATTTATTTAAAAATTGGGATGGTTTTGGCAAGTTTTAAACGTTCTGACACAACATCTGATTTTATTAAAATGTCAAAAATGTTAAAAAATGATGGTTTTTGATATATTCAATGGTATCAAAGTCTGATTTAGCTTTTTTCATGCGAATTTTGTTTATACCTGCACTTCAGTGAGGGATCCGGGGTTTTTTGAGCTAACTTCCAGACATAAGCAAACTCCAAACATTTGTATGTTTATACTTATGTCTAATAATAATGCTTTGCAAAAAATTGCGATGAATGGAAGCTGGGAACAAAAAAGCCTTTAAGTTTCATACTTTCCTCCCTCCCCCACCCTAAATGCGAGGGGCAACAAGTTGATGAAACATTTTTGTACTGTTCTTAACTAGACTTATACTCATCGACAAATTTTAAGTTTCATAGTATTATCTGTCAGCCTTCAAAAATTATGACCATATAAAATTTGTAACCGACTTAAATTGAGGAGGTTTTTGTCATTTTTTTTATGATACCATTTGTCATTTTTTTATGATACCATTTGTCATTTTTTTTATGATACCATTTTTTTATGATACCATTTGTCATTTCTTGTATGATACCATCTGTCATTTTTTTATGATACCATTTGTCATTTCTTGTATGATACCATTTGTCACTTTTTACAATTTTAATTAAATGTAATAAAAATTTTTTAAGTTTTTTTGTGTTAAAATAGGTAAAGTTTAGCCGCATTTTTTACTCTGTTTTCAAAACCTATTTTTATTTTGCCTGTTTATAATTGGCAATTACGGCAATTATTATTAATTATGATAATAATTATTTATATTATAGAGTAATGTTAGTTTAATCAGAATGCTCACGCTAACTAAGAAGTGCTTTACATTATTACGAATTACCAGATGGTTGCTTTTTTTGTATTTGCTAACAGCATAAACGACATAAATTCATTAATATTGAAGTTGCTATATAAGTTAAGTTAATGGATTCGTGGTAGGAATGAGAGTTAGGGTTAGTTTAAATAAAATTAGTCAGCTAACTTTTAGTTCAACTAAAATTAGTCGACTAACCTTTTAGTGAAACTAAAAATATTTTAAGATTTCATTAAAAACAATTTCGAAACAGCTTTACTTTAAGTTAACTAAAGTTAATTGTGAATTTAGTGATTTTAGAAAAATAATCACAAAATAGATCAACAATAAATAAATAAAAAATTAAAACTTTTTGATGGTGCTTATATAAATAATATTGCGAACTTAGTTAAGATAAAACAGTTTTGGTCGACAAATCTTCTTAACTTTTTATTTGATTTTTTTTTTGGATCTATTTCGTGATTATTTTACTTGAATCACTCTAAATTTGAAAAAGTTGTTTATTATCCATACAATAAAAAACAACAATAAAGGTGCAACGAAAGCACGTGGGCGAGTACTAAATAAATAAACAATAAATTTGCTAAAAACGTGCGTCAGGGTTAGAAATTAAACAATGGAACCAATAAAACGTAAGTTGTAACTTAATAATTAAACAATAAAATTGTTGAAACGTGCGTTATAAACAATGTGATTGTTATAATACGTGCGTTATAACTTAAAATTTAAACAATAGCATTGTTAATTCAAATCAAAATTAAAGAACGGAGTTGTACGGATTGTTAAGAAGTTTGAATTGAGATTGAAAAAAAAGCGTCGATATGAACCTAGGTGATTTAATTTATTTTTAAAAGTTAATGAGGTTTCTTGGTAACGTCAAATACGCTTAATTATATAAACCTCTTGAACATGCCGAAACAATAATTAAAATACCCAACAGAATAAAAAAACGCAGAAAATGTATAAAGCTAATGTATAAGTTTATGTATAATATATAATATGCTAATGTATTAAATATAAAATAAAATAAAAATACTGAATATATAAAGCAAAATATTAAATAGGTGTATTTTATAATTTTTTAACTAAGTTTTTCCTTTTTATTTATTTGGTTTTTATTTTACAACATTGTTGTAAAATAAATTTTGTAAACTAATGCAAATAAATGAAAATGTATGAAAAACGATCTTAAATCACAAATGATATTGCGTCTTTTAAAGAAGTTAATACGAATAATTAAATTTATTTATATATTTTACTTTATTTTAAAAACAATTACATTATCAAACATTGCAAAGTCGAACATAGGTGAATATATTTTTTTTAGATGACTAAATATTTCCTTTCATAACCTTGTATGACAATTTCGAAGATTACATTTATTTACCTTGTAAACGTGATAACTGTGGATATTGAATGAAAAATGAAATATGTATTTTCATATTATTATTTTTTTAATTGTCTAGTTAAAAATCAGGGATCGCGCAAAGTGTTGAAGTAATGGGCTTTATTTCTTCCTTTTTTTTCAGTAATTCCCCCCTCCCCTCCTCCCTCCTAAAATAATACTTCTATAGTTTAATGCAGTGTGAATTGTTACAGAGCGAATCCACCATTTCTGATCATCAGCTTTAATAGTTATTTAATAGTTTTTTAGTTTCTTTTCTACTGGTATTTTAAAAAATAATATTAAATAAATGTTGGTAGTGGAATACCTCTTACAGACCTCTAGTTTTTTTTTTTTTTTTTTTTTTTTTTTTCATTTGATTTAAAAATTAAAAAAAATATATTTGAATGAAAAATTGGAATAAAAAAACTTCAATATGCTTATGTGATTCTTTTCATGATTTGCACTTATTTGTTCAATTAGAATCACAAATTTTTATTCGGCGTGTTAGATCAAAACCATGCAAGTGAAATTGCTGCACGTGCGCTCATTATAAATCAAGTACAGTAATTTAATTTTGCTCACTTGTAGGAAATTATTAGCAAAGCCAACTCGTTCAGCTTGTTATAATAAGTTAAATAATTTCATAGACCTCTTCCACCCAATTCCGATAAAGGGGGATGTCTTTTTCCAAATCTTGCTGTAATTATATCTCCGAAAACTAGCGCTGAATCCTGAAATTTCTTAATAAATTCTTTCTTAATTATTTTATTTGAACATAATTAAATGTTATTTTCATAGCAACGCACATAACAACGGAGTGAATGTACTTTTTGTATGCTTTTCCTAAATAACTGTTTCAAATACAGATTTGAACTTACATCATATTTCCTACTTATTTTTTCATTTTGTTTTTTAATTTAATTATTATTATTATTTTTTATTTTTTTTTAGCATAGTATAAATATTATTTTTACAATGCGCGTATAGATATAGATAAAGTTATTTGGGAAAAAATAGAAAGTTAATGAGTTAGTTCAATTAAAAAAAAAGACACTAAATTTTGGAAAAATTATATCATTTCAATAATATAAAAAAATCAACTAAAACAAAAATTAGAAACCTTATTGAAATTTCTATCAAAAACAAAAATCTCCAAAAGCATGATTTTACTTGAGGTAATTTGGAATATAGTATTCCAATTTGTTTTAACCTTTTTTTTCATTGACGTTCTTAAGTAAACTAAAATCAAAATGCAATCATAGATCATTAAAGTTCTTTTTAATAATTTAATCGATTTAAAGGAGGATTTTGGATATATCAATAAATATTTACGAAGGATTACACTTTTACTGAAAAAGTGTCTTCTTATAATGTAGGATAAAAAAATATCAATAACAAAGTTACCTTGAAAATAGTTAAAACAAAAATAAATTAATTAAAAAAAGAAAAAGAAAAACTTTTCTTATAATCAAATTTTAAAAATTTATTTTTTTGTTTGAAACTTAAATGAATTTAAGGACTCTTCACTATAAACTTATATTCCTTTTGACAGTCATTTATCAATTTAGGTTCTCAAAGAGAAATACAAAATTCTTAGAGTTTATTACATTTCCGAGGGAATTTATAGTTATAGTTTCCATTTGATCTTAGATTATATTTTTTATTTAGATTTATTTCAAACTTATTGTTGAAGTTTGCTGGCAAGAGTTTGTTTAAGTATCTATACATAAAAATTAGATTCTGATGGTTTTTATTTTAAATATGTCCTTCATTTTCTTATATTTCATAAGAGATTTTGCCTGTTCATGTTTATGTCCTAAAATCTATAAGTCTTGTATTCTTTTTTGCATTGCATACTTTCACTAGGGTTAAAGCTTCTTTTCGTTTATCCTATTACTTTTAAAGTATCTTTTTTATGGAAGTTTTTACCGTTTACTTTAACTTTCTAAAAAAACCTTCAAAAAATTTGCAATTGCCACATCTCTTGACCCCATATTGAACTTGAAAATTTCATTATGGTTAAACACCTTTTTAATTTCCAATGTTCTCTTCCTATATATTTCATTGTCTTTCTTCGCTGCTGCGGTCATTATCTCAGCATCAGAAAATTTATTCCCTTCGTCATTGAGGTAGGGTTCTATTCCCTGTCGTTTTTGAGTTAATTTTGGGTGATTAACTAAAAATCAAAATGAACGTGAACACGCACATGAGCCAAAATGGCTAAAAGTTTGACGCATGTTCGAAGAGTTAGTAAAACCTTCTTATAATTAGTATAAATTAGTATAAACAATATAAATAATATAATATAAATATGTATAAACAATAAAATTGTATGAACCTTTTTATTGTTTACTTCTCCGAAAATGTTTCAATATTTTATTTTTATTTTAGTTTTTAACACATATAAAACGTGGTAATTTAAAATAATTTATTACTTAATTCATCTGGCGACGAAACAAGCTAACTTAAATTGAAGTTTTATCAACACAAATTATTGTAAATTTAACCATGTGTCTTTTATCAAATTTTATCAACAAAAAAAAAAGCACTCTGCATTTCAATTAAAGTTCTACGCATAAGCTGACGATTGTAATACTCTTTGTCAATTATTTTTCCACATGCAGCTATATGCAAAACCAAAAGCAAAAATTAAAAAACAATTAAATGAAAAAAAAGGAATGATTTGTTTTTATTATTATTTAAATATTTTCGTTTCTTATAAACCAAAAAAGGCAAGTAATTTCGGTTTCGACAAAACGTTAGTTCATCCTCGCCTTATCCTTTCCGTAAAAGTTATTGAAAAAAAGCTTTAAATATTTTTATGTGTAATTTTATAATTTTGAATAAAAATACTATAAAATCTGTTTAAAAAATCGTTATTTATTTTTTTATTTTTATGCTAAAATTGTGCAGCAATTTAAAACATGATGTAAATATTGATGTTTGAGTTCATTTCGGAACGATGAGAATTTTAATTACGGAGACTTTTTTATACACGTTTTTATGCCTAAAGATTATTGTTCTCAAATATTATCTAAAGATTAGTGTGCAAAGATATCATCTGAAATTAGTGTTCAAAAATATATAATAAGTTTTTTAGGAAAAAGTTCAATAACAACATTTTATCTCAAAATAAACTGTGCTTCTTTTAAACGGGAATTTCATCTGGAAATAAAATATCAAAAGAAACTGAAACCCAAAAGCAGTCACGTTAGAGTAAGAATTCCGTATAAACCGTTTAACAAGTCTAATTGCACCGACAACCTACCTAGTACTATCCTACCGACAACATAACAACAAAAATATTTTGATCAATCATAGCATTTAATCCAAATTTCAATACTAAACAATATCTAATACTTTTATGAGATATTTTTTAATCCTGCTATTTTTAATGAAATATATTTTTAATAAAAAATGTACCTTTATTGTAAGGTAAAATTTAAACTGCAAAATGGGGACTATTAAAAATATTTTTTTTTGGAAAAATAAAAATTTAAGAGAGCACAAACATTTTATCAATTTAAAGCTAAATAAATTTATTATATGGAATATTATAAAGTGTAAACTCATCAACAGATAGGATAGACAAAGTTAAATACAGGATAGACACATATATGCACATACGTTGACAAAGATTAAGTTATATTTGATCCGAAAATTCAAAGGCTGTTTTTTTTATCGTATTAACTGCTTCTCAGTTAACTGGAAGCTAGTCTGCTTATTTATTAACTGGAGAAACTTGGCATTAGGAAAATGTCATGTTATTTGTTTTAAAAAAAATCAACAAACTAAAACATTAAAAATTACCAAAAAGATTATAATTGTAATAAAATTTCTATTTTACCTGTGTTTAAAATTTTACCTTTTTTAATAATAGTATTATTGTTTAAATAATATTCAACTTAACAAAAAGATAGGGCGTTAAAAGAGTGTAAATAAGTGCGCAACACTTAGGGTTACCATACGTCCTCCTTTTTTGCAGGAGAGTTTGCTAAACTACATGATAGTTAATCATACTAGAATTTAATCACGGTAGCAAACGTAAAAATTAAGAACTAAATGTAATTGACAACTAGAAAAGAAATATTTTAGGGCGCGCTCCTTTGACGTCTGGTAACCCTACAATACCCGATATTCGCGATGTTGCTTAAAAACCTTGCGCCTCGTTTAATTTGTTAAAGATAGTTAAACTTTTATTAAATAAAACTTTTATGTTGTTATTGCTTTGGACTACTTTGTGTATAATTTTCTATTTACTAACACCTGAGTTTTACTTCTATTGTTTTTTAGCAAATTAAATCTGAGGATTAAACTGCTTCTGTTTCAGTTTCAGTTTGTTTTATACTTGAGTTATTTACGGCGTCTTTTTTAAACAGAAAGTAAAAAAAAAAAAAATTGCTTTAATTGTGTTAGCAAACCAAATGATTTGCAATTAAACCAAATATTTTTGGCGCTCTTTTTTCTTTTTGTTAAAGAAGAGCCTTTTTAATAATTTTTTTTTTAAATTATTTATTACCAACTTTGTTTCATAAACCGTCGTTGTGTCAAAGCTTGAATGTCTAAATTTTAACTGTTAAACTTATATATCAAAAATTGCTTTTTCAACTTGCTTTTTTCTTATTAAGCATGCACTCAAAGAAATATTTTTGTTTTGTTGAAAACTCTGGGAAAGGTATTTATTTAAAGTTTTTTGTCGCATTAAAAAATGTCTGACATCAGATTTTTAAACATTAGAAATGAAGTGAAAACATTATTGGTATTTTAATAATGTCATTAAATAAAATTTCGAGACTCACGCAATATATTTGAAAACGATTACCATATCATTTCAAAACAATATATTTAAAAACGATTAACTTATTGCTTATAACTTATAACGAGAATTCCTCATGGGTGATTTATTATTTAAGTGATATTTTAATTAGGTCTAAAAACATTATAGAAAAATTTTTTTCTTCTCTATTCAAAAAAAATGTCTTACACATCTTTAGCAGTAGCAATAAACAACATTATTTTTCTTAAAAAAATAAGGGATAATTTGAAACATTTGTATGTATGTACATTAAAATGTGAAAAATTATTAAACAAAAAATATTAAGGTTAATAAATTGAAAATAATAAAATCTGTTTAAAAAGTAAAAAAGTTTTTTTAAACGGCGAATTGAAATTTCTAGTAAAATCTCTTCAATATTAAGTAATCCCAGGGTGTTCCCCATACTCCCAAGTGAACCAATCAAATTAAATTGAAACCAATAAAAAATATTGTTTAATTACCAATCGAAATAGTTTATTTTTAACCAATCAAAATTATTAATCTTTTTAAAACGCTTAAATTTGACGACAGATGGTTTTTCTTTAGTAAAAATACTGAGGAATTACTGGTTAAATTTGTCAGAGAAGCCGTATTTACAAACGTTACTCGAGCCCTATTAACAAACGTTACTTAATATTACTATCAAAAGAAAGAGAAAAAAAATAAAAGGTCAAATACGTTTTGGTTAAAATATTCTTGGTAAATAATTTTTACGTTTGAATCGCACAAAGTTAAAATATGTCAGATACACCAATTAATTTCAATACCCCGGAAGCTAAAATCGCAAAAGAAGTAGCGTATCAACTTATACAAAAAAAGACAGGTAAAAATATAAAGAATCAGCAAATTCGTAAAGAAACAGAACTTATGATGAGATTAGTCGAGGAAATAGAAATTAAACACGAACTGTTTTTGTCAAATATGTGTAAAAGACTGAACTTAAATACTGAAAATGCTCAATCAATGTTTCACACAATTGCAGAAGAGATATTCAGTGATGGTATTAACTGGGGTAGAATTATTGTCTTATATGCGTTTGCTGGAAAAATTGCAGAACATTGTAGAAAATCTAATGATGAACAAATTATTGATAAAATTGCATTATGGGTTGCAGGTTTTGTAGCCAAAAAAAGTAGTTGGATTCGTGATTCAGGAAGAGGATGGGTAAGAAATTATATTTTAATTTTTATTTATAACTTCAGGCAAAAATGTATATTTTGTCAAATTGTCTTTTATAAAATGTTTCGTATGTTGTTTTTTCGTCTATTAGAAAAACATAAATGTCAAGTATTATATACATTAAATACTTGCAATTTTTTATTTAAGAAGTTCCGATTTTAAGATTCAATGAATTTTTTTGTCGTTTTCTCATCAAACCATTTATAACTTTTTCACAAATATAAACTTCAGGAAATACATTCTTAGATTGGCCTAAAATGTTACATGTGAATTTTTTAACTATCTAATAAAAATAATAAAAAATGTAATTCAAGTCTAAAATACACTTAAATAATGACGCTTTATAAAAAGTACTTAAACACATTTTTTTAAAATTATCAAAAGTAAATTTTTAAATTATATTTATTGCTTTCGGTTATTCTTTTACGTTACAAGTTTTCATGCAGTTTTATTATTGTAAAATATGTAAAACGCTTTAATATATTAGACTTCATTTTTCCTGCAAATTTCTTAACGGATACTTTGCTAACATAACGGCAATAAAGCAATATTAAATGCTTACACAGTTTACAAATTTTTATGGTATTTTTATTATTTTCCTAAGGGAATAAGTTATTAAATAAGAATTTTTAAAAACGACATTTTATTCTTAGTTTATTCCTGATAACGACGGTTTTTATTTTCAAGTGACAACTTTTAAGTCACGTTTTAACGACGGTCATTTATAAATTGAAAGTAATGACGTCTGTTGATTCAAAAAGGGAAGAAATAAATTTATATATTCAAAAGAAACTGATTGTGATTTAAATACATTTTTTAATTTATTATAAGAACTTTGATTCGGAAATTATATGATTTTTTTTAGCTCTCTGAATCATTTATTAAACTTTTTTTTAATTATTAATATATTTTACTTGATTTAAAAACGATGTTGAAATCGTAAGCGCATTTTGTTATTGTCAAGTTATTTTCTTTAATCGAAACATTTTTAAGCGACTTGTTTACTTAGCAAACAATTTTCAACTAAGAAAAACACTGCATGTTTTTTACTTGAAAATGTTTTTCTATTTACACAGAGCTTAACTCTTCAAATATATTTATTTGAATTAGTTATCGACTTGGAGACGCGCTGTCTAGTGACGTATTTAACGTTCTGATAAAAGAATGTATGTATGATAAATATCGGGGGCACTATTTCCGTCATGGTTAATACAAACATTATATGTTTATATATATATATATATATATATATATATATATATATATATATATATATATATATATATATATATATATATATATATATATATATATATATATATATATATATATTATATTTATTATATTTTAAACAAAATAGCATCGCCTCTAACTAATGGTTAGAGGTTATGATATATATATTTCTGTTTGAAATTTAAATTGGAAATTTGAAACAGTGTCTTCAGCTTCAAATAGTTTCAAAAAATGTAGTTGAATCTTTAGACATTTGAATATCGAGAATTTCATGCAGTTCAAAATTTAGTATTGAGTGAAACGTTTATTTAAAACATAATTATTTTAATAAACTTTTTTTTTGGTTTAGAATGGCTTTATTGAAAACTTTGATGTCAAGCAAGACTCGTGGGTTCAGGGATTGTTTGCTGCTACTTTAGGTTTAGGAACCATAGCTGCTGCACTTTACATCAAAAGCTAATTTTATATGAGCGCGAAATATTCGAAATTCCACATGTCGTTGTTGCAAAGCTGCAAATATGAACGGCTCAGGGCATTTCATTGTCATTGAACCGGTTCCTTTGTTCTTGCGTTTGGTTATTGAAAAATTAACAAAACCTGTTTAAGTAAAGAGATCTGTTAACTTTTTCTAAAAGTTATAATTAAGATCTCTTATGTAACGTTTAATATTCGAAGAACTAAAGCTAAAAAAGATAATATAATAGTTTCGGAAATGCTATTTTGATTTAACCAGGTGTTTAATCAAGCGCTTGTTGATATTTTTTTCCCTTTATTTTTTAAATTTTCAAATGAGTCATCTCATAAATTTTTTATCATTTTAGTTTTCTTTAGGCTATTTTTGTAGTTTTGTTACGCAAAAAGGATTTTGCAATGCAGTAGCATTTTTATATAGGCAAAAAACTGTTTTTTTGTTCTATGAAATATCAACCGGCTTTGGTATGGAGTTATTCTTTTATTAAAAACGAGTATTTATTGAAATATTTATTTATTTTTGTACATAGATATAAAAAAATATGTATTAAATATGTAAAATTATGTTTATTTTAAAAAGTCAGATATTCATTTAAAATGTGTTGTTATTTGTATTTGAGATATGGCTTTATTTATCCAACTTCAAGTCCATTTTTTTTTTAACCAATAGTTGTACTTATTCTATAGTTATTTGAAAAGTGAACGAAACACAACATTGTATCATTAGAGAGATTTTTTTATGTACAACAAAAAATGTATTTAATTAACAGCCTACCAGAAAGAATTGACGCTTACAAAACATGTCCGGTTTTTGTGGACGGATATATTTTGTAAATGCCATTGAGACATGGTCTCATACAGGTTTTGCTACCACATTGAGATAAAATATTAAAAATTGAAACACAATTCACAATAAAAAAAAACCCTCTTTTTTCCTCTTTACCATAACATAACATTGTTTTCCTTTGGTACAAAAACACAATTATAAAGTTTGTCACGTATTTTATGTGTGCAATTACTAGTCGTGTGTGCAAATTAGCAACTGTGGCGCAGTGTTAAGAGTTCTGGCTCAAAATCAAGAGGTCTATGGTTCAACGCCAGCTCTAGCCCAATAACTAACATTGGTAATGAAGGAGTGAACTTTCGAGCTAAATACTCTTCCGCGGTGCTCTGTGATAAAAACCGTAAGTACTTATGGGAGTACTTAAATAGTCATTAAAAAAAAGTGTAACAAGATTTTAATAATTAATTATATTTTGGCTGCGCCAAAAAACATACTTATGTATGAAAAAGAAACTCTGGGTTATGTTCTATTACTGCTATATACTCGGTTATAGCTTTTGGTAAACTTATTCCAGTAATAATATCAAATCAGGTCTTTCGTTATAACCAGAGACGTAGGTCTCGAGACCAAAAGTCTTGGTCTTGAGATTTATATTTAACTGTCTTAGTCATGGTATTAGTCTTAAAGCCTAAAGTCTTGGTCTTAGTCTTGGTCTTGAAAGCCTAGAGTATTGGTCTTGGCCTTATTCTTGGACCTCTCCTGTCTTTTACTTTCTTAATTCTTACGAAAAATATTAACTCAATGAGAATTAAAAAAAAAATCTTTTAATTTTTTTAACCCTTACATGTGTGACCATAAGTCTTATTGTGTTGGATTTCTTAAAACCTAAGCCTCAATCCCGGTCTTGTAAAAACTTTTAAAGTCTTGGTCTATTTTTGGTTGTCTTGGTCTTGGTCCTGAAGCTTTTAATCTTGAGCCTTGGTCTTGGCCTTTTACTGTCTTGACTAAATCTCTGGTTAGAACTATACCAGGTATATTGCATTTAGATTATTTTTTAAACAAAATATTAACTAATGAGTAAATACCTTTGAGCGAGGATTATCTCGCTTATGTGATATAATATTAATGTGTCTCAAAATACATGTATGTATATGGCATAGTGATATACTATTAATTATACTTGGAACAAAATTAATTTTGACTATTAAAAATATATAAAAAATGGATGCTATGGTAATCATAAAAATAGTAGAAAACATCTCAAATTTTGTGTTCAAACATTTAACATTTGTCGTAAAAAAATAAACAGAATCAAATAAAGAGCGAGATTTGCAGACTTTGCAGAGGTGTTCTTTATGTGTCAATTAATAATATGAGTTAGGTAGACTTTTAATAAGAATATTTTTTTATAATAAAAGATTTCGGAAAAATCAAATAGTAAAAAAACTTATATGCAATAGAATTATACAAATTAAAATTAAATAATTGGATAAAGCAATCTAATTAATATTTTTTTAAATTTATTTTGTCATTTTAATATAAACTTTACAATGACTTTTTTTTCTAAAATATAAAGAAAACAAAAATTTAATTGGAGATGTCAAAAAACAAACGTCTTACGATACATTGTTGATATCATTATATAGCTTCTACATTTCATAATCAATTCGGAATATATTGAAAAAATAAAAATAATAAAAAAAAAAAAAAAAAGAAAAGAAAAAACGAGAGATCTCTCTATATTATAGAAAGTTATTGCTACTAAAATTATATATATATATATATATATATATATATATATATATATATATATATATATATATATATATATATATATATACATATATATATATATATATATATATATATACATATATATATATATATATATATATATATATATATATATATATATATATATATATATATATATATATATATATATATATATACATATATATATATATATATATACATACATATATGTGTGTATGTATGTATGTTTGTATGTATGTATGTATGTATGTATGTATGTATGTATGTATGTATGTATGATGTATGTATGTATGTATGTATGTATGTATGTATGTATGTATGTATGTATGTATGTATGTATGTATGTATGTATGTATGTATGTATGTATGTATGTATGTATGTATGTATGTATGTATGTATGTATGTATGTATGTATGTATGTATGTATGTTTGTATGTATGTATGTATGTATGTATGTATGTATGTATGTATGTATGTATGTATGTATGTATGTATGTATGTATGTATGTATGTATGTATGTATGTATGTATGTATGTATGTATGTATGTATGTGTGTATGTATGTAGTTAAAATCTCTCTTTGTTTTAATATTAATATTTATTTTTGTTATAAAGAAACTCTAAAATTTGATTATGCTTCCACAATATTTTTGTCAGCATTGAGATATTGTAGGCGCAAAAGCGCATCTTAGAGAAAACGTTGGATAATCTGGAAAATATTCAGCACATTTTTTTGCTTTTTGTTTAATAATATACAATATAAATAAAATAGTCACGCCAATAAAACAATAAACTATGCAATCCAATGCATTATCTAATTTTTATAAACATCTAGCAATCTATTAGAAACTTTGAACATAACTTTGAAACTTAACATCAATTCTTTTTAATAACATCACTATATTACATTTTTCAAAACCTTTTATTTGTATCCAATGTTTTATATTATAAAATTGTTAAATTTTATTATGAACTTATGAAGCTTATTTATACAAGAATTTATAGTTGGTATATTATATTAAATAGAATTCTTTTGCAGAAGGCTTTATTAATGATTGCGATAAAGTCGTCAACTGAGATTTAAAGTTTTAAAATCTAAAGATAATTCTATTTTTTAAATTGGATTGACTTTGAAAATCATAAACAACACAACGCTAATGAAATTTTTTATTGCAATTTCAAGTTGTTATTCTGTTTTTATTACAATATTCAAAACATATTTACCATTTATAAAATATAATTGGCAAATATGTTTAAACACATAGACATAGCGTGTTTTTAAGTCTACTATCTGTAAATTGATATTTAACAAAATTGTAACTGGTATATATTTTTCGGATTTCTTTTGCAGACGGCATTATAAAAAGTGTTTGTTATTCTGTTATTGCAAATCCTCGCTCGACAACAGAAAGTTATTTGAGATAAAAATAAGTCTATTTTTTCTGCGAAAAATTAGACTTATTTTAAAAAGTCAAGAAAAAATTTTAAAAAGTCAAGATAAACCGATAAAGCCAAGATAAAGCTAAGATAACCTGACTTTTTAAAATTGGATTTGTTTTTGCTTGTAATTCCAAGTTGTTTATTGTCTGTGTATAAAACTTTCTTTAAAATAACACAGAGAATATTAACCATGAGTTTTAGCCAGGGGCGCAATTAGGGGGGTTTCCATGGTACCCGGAAACCCCTTTTTAAATTGTTAAAAAAATTAAATTTTAGTCAACCATAAAAAAAAATATGCACTCTTTCGGTTTCACAAAGTAAAAACCAAGGATTCGTAAGATCGGAAACTCCTTTTCAGAAATCCTAATTGCGCGGCTGTTAGTAAATGTTTAAACAAAATGTTTTTTTTGATATAAGAGTAGCCAGTGACGTGAGTGCATTTCTAGACTGTTAAATAATCCAAACAAACCAATCTAAAAGCTTGAAATTTAAATCTTAATCTATTTATAAATATTTTTACTTGAAAGTTATACAGGGTTGGCCACTATATTTTGAAGACCAGTACAATGAAGACCTTTCCTAAAATGTTTTGAGTAAAAAATGCGCGCACAAAATCACTAATAATTATAAAAACCTAATTACTAAATCTAGAAAATAGTTCTTTATTACTTTTTTAAATTTATTAGTGAATTTAAATAAATTAATATTTAAAAAAGTTTCTGTTTCTCTGTTATCCAAATCTCTGCTTAAAATTTATTAAGTACTTAATAAATTTTGAATAGAGATTCGCTTAATTAATATAAATAGTTACTAAAAACTAAATTTGTAGTCTTGAAACTCGCACTAACTGCGTAACTGCAGTAAAAACTGCAATAGCTCCGTTGTTTAATTGAGAAATCCCAAGATGATAAGTCCTACAGGATATCCTATAAAAATTATAAAGGACATTTCAAGCTAAAACAGGAAAAGGACTTTGTATGGAATAATTCTTTTGAATACACCATATAAAAACTTCTATAGATTTAGAAACTATAGAAAATCCTGTTCTACTGTTTTTGTCTCGGATAAACCTATTAAATACATCTAATAAGAATTCCTATAAAATAAAAAATTATACATTTTTTCGAAATCTTGTAGAAGTGTGTGTTCCGAAATCTATAAGACACTGGATATAAAAGCATCTGATATGTTTCTACCTACAAAGTGAAAAAATCCTGTTCTAAAATCTTATAGGAATATATTTTTGTACTTTTGTATTTTTATAGAACATCATTTGGAATAACCTATTGGTTCAGTTGTATAGAAATATGTATAAAATCAAAGCTCTACCTATACGATAGAACTTTTCGAATATCCCATAGGCTACGTCCTATATGTCTTATGTAGTATTGCCGGACTTTATAAAGTAATTGTACTATATTTAGTAATATATTATGTATTATGCTAAATATATATATATATATATATATATATATATATATATATATATATATATATATATATATATATATATATATATATATATATATATATATTACATATATACATTTATATATATATATACATATATATATATATATATATATATATATATATATATATATATATATATATATATATATTTGTGTGTGTGTGTGTGTGTATGTGTATGTGTCTGTGTGTGTGTGTGAGTATGTGTGTGTGTATGATGTATGCTTAACTTTAGATTAAAAAAATATATCAGATAAATATGTCAGTAAAGTGATTTAATGATATATTAGATAAATATATCAGTATATTGTAAATATACAGTAGATAAATATATCATATATCAAGAAAAGTAATTTTGATAGAAGACATCATACCAATATTTTACCAATAATAAATAATGTAAATAATTACAAAAACAATAACTGACTTTTTTCACAGATAAATTCATGAAAAATATTTTATATTGCAATATATAGATTTACATATATGTTATCGATTCTCAAATATATTATATAAATTTACATATTGTAAATACAATATGTAATGTTGACCAATAAAATACAAATTATATGTATTTTTACTGTATTGAAAATTCTATTTTAAAAAATTTGGCGTAAATAAATTTTAAACTGTTCTATATACGTTTTAAAAGAGCTCATTAAAAATTTTGTAAAGAACATCCTTATTTATTAACTTTAAAAACCATTTACCAAGCTTATGCAAAAATTATTTACCAAGCTTATGCAAAAACCATTTACTAAGTTTATGCAAATGCTATTGGCTAATGTTTAAAATTGTACTTGGATCTCGTTAAATTTATTAAAAACAAGTTAACCACAAATAAAAAACATTATTTTAGCGTAAAATGGTAAAACCCTGAGGAAACAAAACCGTCTAAGTAAACAAATAACGCTTAGTAACGCACACCCATGCTGAACCAGATTTTAGTTTGATGAAATGACATAGGGTTGTGTCATACCTTTTTGAAATTGTTAGAACCGTACCATTAAGGAAAAGTTAGTGAAAAAAATAGGGTCCCGGACTTAGGCGCCCCTCTAACTGATATCATAACCCACCACAGGGGTGCATGCAATTATTGTACATTTTGTCAGAAAATATGACTAGTTGTTATATGTCCCCCTCAGATGGGTCTTAAAAACAGCCTGAGGGGCGCCAATGCCGAGTACATTTTTCTTCTCAAAATTAAAAGGGAAAAAAAAAACATTTTTAGAATTTTTATTAAACTAATTATTGCTTTTTTCAAATACTTTGCATACTTTTGATGGTTATCAGACACTTTGAAACGTTCCCATGCTTCCTTTAGAAATGAGTAGTGAAGAGTTTCCCCTGCTTGTTCACTAAAGAAACCCAATCCAATGTCCTTATTTTTACAATAAGGACCTACATGTTGAAATATGATGTGTAACTTCACAGTAACTGTCATTTCATAATCTTCCACTAAGGTTGAATAATGATTCTTAAATAACCTGATGTCTTTTTCAAATGTTGGCCTTAAATTTGGCCGGAAAAAACACAAACAAAACTCAACGTTAAATTTGTGTTAATAAGTTTAATAATAAAACTACAGAAAAAATACAAACTGATACATTTTAGTAACTGTGTAATAAGTTTCTATCTATCGAAATAATTGAATCAAGATTTTATCAATCATATAAATTTAATTATGGCAGTTACTCGAGATGACATTAAAAATATATTGAAGGAGATGTTTAGTGATTACAAAAAACAATTTGAAGAAATCTTAAAACAACAAGAAAAAAACATTATAGCCATTGTAAGTTCAAGCGCAAAAATAGTTCATGACCGCTTAGATAAAGTTGAAAAAAATATAAACGACAATGCCGAACGAGTTAAGTCAATAATAAAGGATGTTGAAGAAATGAAATTGAGCTTAAATTTTCATGAACAACTTATTGATGATAAAATAAAAACTGCAATTAGTTATCAGGAAAAGATAAATCCATCTGGTAGTGAAATAACTAAAGTAAACTCGGAATTCCTTAATATAAAAAACAAGTTAAGGGAAATGGAAGATCGTTCGAGGCGAAATAACTTAAGAGTAGACGGTGTAAAAGAGAATGAAAACGAAAGCTGGGAAGAGACCGAATCAAAGGTAAAAAAATTATTTGAAGATTATCTAGATGTAAAAAATGTTAAAATAGAACGAGCTCACAGAACTGGCAAGAAAGATGCAAAAAAGCCAAGAACGATCGTGCTAAAACTCTTGGATTTCAAAGATAAAACAGAAATTCTTAAAAAATCTTATCATCTAAAAGGAAAAAATATTTTCATCAATGAAGACTTTTGTCCGGAGACCACACAAATAAGAAGAGCTTTAAAAGAAAAGATGAAAGTAGAACGAGCAGCAGGGAAATACGCTTTTATTTCGTACGATAGGTTGATCATACGTTATTGGGCTTCCAATCGAAAAAAGAATTAGGTTCGTTTATATTTTAACTCTTTTTTATTCATGTATATATATTACCTTATTCTTTCTTTATTTTATTTAAAATTTTAAGTTTTTAAAATGGAGGATAACTTTTCTACAAAATTTAACTACGAAGATCTAAAGCTTAGTGATAATGATAATGAAAATTTTTTTTGTGAAAAAAGCTTTAAAACTGAGTATTTTTCAATTTCTGAATCTACTCATTTTCTTTCTCAGAACAATAATGCTTTCTCAATTTTAACTCTGAACATTCGGAGTATGAGTAAAAACTTTGAAAACTTTAAAATTTTATTGCATAACCTCAAACACGATTTTAAAATTATCTGCCTTACAGAAACGTGGCTTAAAAACAGTGAAAAATACGCACGTTTTGAATTAGCCAATTACGCATCAGTTCATCAATCGCGTCATAAACATGCTGGTGGTGGGGTGAGTATTTTTATTCACAACTCATTAAATTTTATTCACCGTAATGATCTTTGCGTGAATGAAACAGATTGTGAGTCGTTATGCATTGAAATAATAAATAAAAAGGATAAAAACATTTTCGTAAACTCTATTTATAGACAACCAGCTGGAAACTTAAAAAATTTTAAAGCTCACATTAAAAATTTTCTAACCCAAACCAGTAAAAATCGGAAACATGTATACTTAGTTGGAGATTTTAACATAAACATTTTAAATTATGCATCAAAAAATGATGCTAAATGCTTTATTGACACCATTTTGCAATATAATTTTATTCCAACAATAAATAAGGCAACAAGAATAACAAAGACATCTTCAACATTAGTCGACAACTTAATAACAAACAATTTTCACAAATCCTGCATAAGAACAGGCATAATTAAGACTGACATAAGTGATCATTTTCCGATCTTTCTAACCACTAAAAACATGACATTAAAAAGCAATTCCATAAAATCAAAAATTTTGGTACGTCAAATTAATGAAAACTCCTTAGCACGATTTCGCGATCTATTAAAAAATTCTGTTGATTGGAACTTAGTGTATGAAACACAAAATGCAAATAATTCTTATGAATTATTCCTCACGTTTTTTAGTAAACAATATAATAAGGCATTTCCTTTAATCGAACAAAATTTAAATTCTAAGTCTATTTTAAATCCGTGGATGACAAAAGGTTTAATCAAATCTTCAAAGAAAAAGCAAAAACTATATGAAAAATATCTACGACATAAAACATATCACAATGAAATAATATACAAAAACTACAAAAATTTGTTTGAAAAAACCAAAAAATTATCAAAAAAATCTTATTATGAAAAGCTATTGGAAAAAAGTAATGGAAATACAAAAAAAACTTGGAATATAATAAAAGAAATAATTGGCAAAAATATTTCGATTAAAAACAATTTGCAACAAAAACTGTTAATTGATGAAAAAGTTGTTTATGACAAAGAAACTATAGCTGAAAAGCTAAACAGTTTTTTTCTTGAGATTGGTCCAAATCTGGCGGCTAAAATTCCATCTAGTACCATAAAACTTGAAACATACCTCAAAACAGCAAATAATGTTATGACAGAACTAAGTTTAAATATAAGTGAGTTGCTTAATGCCTTTTGCTCTCTGAAAAATAACAAAAGTGCAGGCATAGATAAAATTAGCGTCAAAGTAGTTAAATCAGTCTTTGATATTATTGAACCCTTATTGTTTCACATTTTTAATCTCTCATTAACGTCTGGTATTGTACCAGACAAACTTAAAATAGCTAAAATCACACCGATTTTTAAGTCAGGTGAAAAAACAAATGTTTCAAACTATAGACCTATTTCTGTATTACCTTGTTTCTCTAAATTGCTAGAACGCATTATGTACAATAGGCTTTATAATCATCTAGTATCAAATAATATTCTGTACAACAAACAATTTGGGTTTAAAAAAAATCATTCTACGAATCACGCGGTAATTGAGCTTGTAAACCATATATCGGATGCTTTTGATAAAGATTATTTTACCTTAGGAGTTTTCATTGATTTATCCAAAGCATTTGACACTGTCAATCATGAAATCCTTATAAAAAAATTAAAACTTTATGGAGTAAACAACTTAAACTTACTTTGGTTTAAAAACTACTTGACTAACAGAAAACAATGCATAACCTATGAAACAAATGAAACCAAAAAAAAGCTTATAAATTGCGGGGTTCCTCAAGGATCTATCTTAGGACCATTATTGTTTCTAATATATATAAACGACTTATTTTTAGCATCTAAAAAATTATATCTTATATTGTTTGCTGACGATTCCAATCTGTTTTATTCTCACAGAGATATAAAAATTCTCTTTAAAATTTTTAATGAAGAATTATCTAAAGTAAATGAATGGTTTATAAGTAACCACCTTTCACTAAATGTAGATAAAACTAAATTCATCCTGTTCCACAAACCAAATAAAGTTGATAAAATTCCACTTAAACTGCCAAATCTTTTATTCAATAAAACAGATGTAAAAAGGGAATCTACTGTTAATTTTTTAGGCGTAATTCTTGATGAAAATTTGTCATGGAAGTTTCACATCCAATCTATTGAAAGTAAAATCTCTTATAATATTTCCTTTATAAAACAAAACCATTTTTAAACGCAAAAGCTCTAACGAAAATTTATTTTTCATTTATTCACAGCTATCTTTCTTACTGCAACATTGCATGGGGAAGTACGAATTACGGAAAACTCAAAAAACTTTATAGTAAACAAAAGCATGCTTGTAGGATTGTATTTGGGGCAAACAGAACTGTTTATTGCGAACCACTATTAAATCGTCTCAAGGCCTTAAATATTTATAAACTAAACATTTACCAAACATTACTTTTCATGTTTAAAATGAAACATGGAATATCTCCACTTATATTTCAATCTTATTTTAGCGAAATATCTCATAAGTATCCAACAAAGTTTTCAGAGGATAACTTTATTGTTCCGAAAATAAATTTAAAAATAAGTTCTTATCAAATTAAATATCGAGGAGCTTTTTTATGGAAAAATTTTATTAAAAACTTTAATAAAGAACACTACTCTTTAGAAAAATTTAAAGCAGTTTCTAAAAGAATCTTACTTCAATTAGATTTTAATTCAATAGACTTTAAGTATTTTTTTTAAAAAGGAAATTTTAAAATAGAAACAAACGCTCCCATTATCATTAAGTATATTTTGTTATATGTATCAAATATATTTGTATTAGTAAACAAAACTTTCTTTACTTTTAAATTTTAATATAAATGTCATTTTATTATTTGACAAAAGTTATGTACTCTTTAACGTTTTTTTGTATATTCTATTTATATTTGTTTATAAACACGGGCAATTTGTAAACGGGGCTCGGCGATAAGACAGTCATTGTCTTCTTCTTGCTCCGGCCAATTTTTATAAATGTAATATGTCTATATTGTAAATATATGAAACGGCAAAAAAAAAAAAAAAAAAAAAAAAAAAAAAATTTACACCAAAACAAGAGTGAACAAGGTTATCTAGAAGCCTGAACGTTTCAGCCAATGGTTTTAATAGGACTGGAAACAAGTTATAGTACTTCACCCAATTTTTTAATATTTTTTGACAACCATTACCATTATATGACCCATTTCTTATTGATTTAGAAATATTTAAGTCATTTTTGATCTTTTTTAATAGTACTGGATCAGCTTATTGTTTTAAAGATATGGTTTGTTGCCCCTTCTATCAAATGAAGTTCTGGAGGAGAAAGATAATTAACAACTAGATCATTATCATCAATAATTAAAAGAACTTCACCAATACAGTTAAAATATTCTTTTGCTCTAATTTTCTTTGATCCGCTCAATTTATACAATTTACTGCTTAATCTTAGTTACCCAAGTGTTTGTAGCTCAGTGCAATCATTTTTAAAAATCTCTGTTCTGTTCTATGTACAAATATAACACGGGAGTTGCCATGGAATTCGGAGACATACCACACATGACTTGAATGAGTTTGATATCTGCCACACAAGTAAAGTTTATTTTATCCAAACAGAGTTTGTTAAGCAGAATTTTAACATTATGGTTTGTCTCTGGTACATCTGGTACCAGTGCTTTAATAAATGATGCTTTCACAGATCCTTCCTAGAAATTTGGTGATTTAGTTTCTTCATATTTTCTCCTTTTGTTTTTAATTGTTTCACTAGGATTTGATACAACATTTAAGCAAACCTGAATATTTTATAATAAATTACACTTATTATTATTTTTAATTAGAAAAAAAAGTGGCACATTATAAAATCAAATTACCTTAAAAAATCTCCGACCTCCGTCAATGGAAATTTTTATATACTGGTTTTGAGGATAGGCTCCTTTTTTATCTATTATTTGCCACAGAAACTCATTGACATCTGTTGTTCTGATAAATGGGATCAGTTTAAACAAACTTATTTTCTCTACAGATTTAATATTAAAAAGTTCAAAATCCTCAACAAAACAATCATCAAGTTGCTAGTCAATACGTTTGAGCTCTGCTGCTAACCCTGATTGTACAATTTTTCTGTTTTGTGCTTTGAATCGTAATTCTTTTGCTAGCTTTAAAATTTTTGTGTTACTTAATTCTAAAGTTGATTGTATGTCAATCATACTGTTTATAGACAGTTGTTGTATATTACTAGTATCATGGTTTCTCTTAAGTGTAAAACTTACTTTTTTACCACCAGTAGCAAGTATCGCTTTACTCTTTTTGTCTGTTTTGTCTTTTATTAAAGAATTTGCTATTTGTTCAATTGTCTTGATATTATTTGCAAGCTTTTGCATTACATTACATTTAAGTACATCTAAAGAACATTTGTGGGTAATTCCTTTGCTAATAATTGAAAAGCAAGTTTGATAAGTTAGACTATTAACTGGAGGTTGCGCGTTACATTTACGTCCCTTTTTAAATTTTTTAGGTCTCCCTTGAGTAAATCCAATTATACATATTTTGCATTTACATACAAAAACACTTCTAGTTTGAACTGGTATTTTTATTTTATTCCCATTTACGTGTAAAGCAGGCTCTTTTCCTCTTCATATACTGCTTTTGTAAGATTCGCAAATAGCTTTAGGATAGAATGAATTTTTAATGTTGTATTTAAAATTCACTAAATTTTTAATCCACTGTACATTAATATCGTTAGGTTTATTTGTTTTTTTGGCACAATATAAACACACTTTTCTCCTGTTTTCCTCATGAGTACTGGTTGGTTTAAATAAACTCATTCTATCTAGAAAAATAAAACAATTTAAGAACACAGAGAAAAAACATTTTTTTTTATACCTAAAATATAAAGATTTATATACCATACAATAATTCTTTAAAAAATGTTTCAAACACACTATACAAATATAACATAATATAATACAAATATAAATGCTGACTATTACAGTATATAGGTTCCTTATTAAATACCATTTAACATCTCTTACAAGCGTTGTTTACTATACTTCAATTTTTAAAGTTAAAACAAAATGAAAATATGCAGAATTATGAAGTTTGGTTACACATGTGGTAATGATGAGTTGCGGTCTGTTTTGTGTTGTTCAGTATAAAACTATTGTTTAGTATAAAACTACTGTACAATATTTGTATGCTTTTTTATTTTATTTTTTCAATGAAAACATATTTGACTAGATTGATAAAGTGATTTTTGATATTTTGTTTAAAGTAAAATATATTATTCGTTCTTTATAAACTTATTTATAAAGTTTAATAATGATTATATACACACGGGTCAAAATAGGTGATGAACTTTGGTGCCCCTCGGGTTGTTTTTTAAACCATCTAAAAGGGGCAACTAATAACTAGTTATATTATTTAACAAAATATAAAATATTTGTTTCCCCCCCTCGGGTTGGTCTCATGATCAACCAGAGGGGCGCCAAAGTTCGGGAACCGTTTTGACCCCTGTATAAACCCAAATATTTTTTAAAGATTATTTTTATGATTTTTTTTCACTAACTTTCCCTTAATGGTATGGTTCTAACAATTTCAAAAAGGTATGACACAACCCTATGTCATTTCATCAAACTAAAATCTGTTTCAGCTTGGGTGTGAACGCAAGTTAAATTCGGCGCGACCTACAATGTAAATAAGAAAAAAAATTCATGACTATTACGTTATGATATTTTTTCTAAAATTAATTAAAACCAATCAAGTTTTGAATTTTATATCACGTAATGTCAACAGTAAAAAAAAGCGCGAAAGAAGTAAGTGGAAATCAAAACAGCGTTTCGTAAAAGCGAAAAAATTCACTTCGTGCGAATATTTCGTCTTGTGGAAAACGGCCTTAAGTCGTTCTGACGTCAAACAAAAACAATAGCATCGGCAGTCATGTTGAATGAGGTGATAATAATGCGAAAAATAAGAGAAAATCCTTAAAGAATTTTTGATAGTTTATAATTTTATTAAAAAAGACATGCCAAAAAAATGATTTAATTCTTATTCCAGTGAAGAAATATGTACTAATATTTACGTCATTCATTATTACGTCATAGTTTCTTTTTTTTTTTTTTGAATTAAAAATTTCTTTGCAATAGGCTGTTGCTAAGTTAGGTTACGCGAAAGTGGTAAGGTTAGCTGTACGAGAGCTAGAAATATTGTATCACGTGAAGAAGTGGTTATAAAAGAGTTAAGAGATCACGCGAAGAAGTAGATATAAAAGAACCAAGAAATTGTTAAGAATCGATAATAAAAATACAACAACATAATGTAAAGTAATGTAAAGATTTATCTTAATCTTCTTTACTTCTTTACTTTTTTTGACTTTTAAATTTGAATTCAATACAACTTTTTTGCGTAAATTATCCCCCAAACTGCTTATAATAAAGTTTTATACGGAATTTATGTCGTTTATTTTTTATTATTGGTAAGTTCTACATACTTATAAATGTACATCACGGTCGTTTAGACTTTAGAAATAAGTGGAAAGTTATTATACGCAAGCGCAGTAGAGTTAAAAATAATTTAGAATTTTAAAAATGGCTACGGATGTAACGTTTTTAAAAACTTATCATTGACAACGAGTAACTTGTTTAATTTTAGATAATTTAATAGGCTTTTAACTATTTTTAAAATAAAATTATTGTGAAAATAACTTGCAGCTTTACTAAGAAATGTTTTAAATAAAATACAAGTCCTCTGAATGTGAATAAAATCTACTTTCAGCTAAAGCTACTTTTACTGTTTTTGTTTATAATCTTTAAACCTTTTTTAAAAAAATTTTGAGCGTAGAAATTTTTAAATTTTTATTTATTCAGCAAGATGAACCTTTTATCTTTTTTGCATTTTTTGCTTTTATGAGGATTCAATTTTTTTTGCAGGGTTAAAATAAAATCTTAATCGTTAACTTTTTGTAACCTGTTGCTACGATACTCCTTTCTGATGTATATATATATATATATATATATATATATATATATATATATATATATATATATATATATATATATATATATATATATATATATGTATATATATATATATATATATATATATATATATATATATATATATATATATATATATATATATATATATATATATATATATATAAAATATATATATATATATATTTTTTTATTTATATTTATTTATATATAAATAAAAACACAAACAAGTTTTGAACTTAAAGCATAACTTTGATAAATTATTTAATTTTTAGATATAAAGCTATATAAAGTGTGTAATATTCGTAATGCAATAGAGACAAACAGAAAAAAAAGCAACATTAGTATAATTTAAAAAATGTAAATTTATTTTATGCATCAAATAAATATCCATCAACACAAAATAAAAGATCAAAATATAATTCAAATGAAAATATAATTCAAATGAAAATATAAATATCTTTTATGCATTAAAAACATTTTTTTTCATTCTTTCAATCTTTAAGTAAAAAATATTTTAAATATACTCATATTGATTTTAACAATCTCAAGCTGAAAACATTAAAAAAAAAAATTTAAACACGAAACACAAAAAATATTTATATCGAGTTCCAAGAAAAAGTCTTTCTGCTTTAGTTTACTTTTCCCTTCTTTACAACAGGCAAGTTTCTTTGTTGAAACGCGAATATGGTTGGAATACTAAAAAAATATATACTATAATATTTGTTTGTTTTAAATCAATTTTTATCATAATTTATTAATTTTGAATCAATATGTACAAAACCAGACTGATGATTCAATCGATAGAATCAAAATGATAGCATTCAATCGATAAAATCAAAAACATAACTAATGGTATTGCTTTGATGCAGGCAATACAGTTGATTTATTTGAGGTTATTGACTAAATCAAAAGCCTGGAATAATAACATTCAAAATTTTGATCATAGATAAGTGTGCATAAATATATAATGTATGTATGCGTATATATATATATATATATATATATATATATATATATATATATATATATATATATATATATATATTAGGGTCTTGTGAATTGCTTCGATTCGTGAATCAAGTGTCGCTTCGATTCGAGTCGAAAAAAAAAAAATTCAAGTTTTTTCAAATCATATTTTTGCGAATTATTTTGCGAATATTGCTGGTTTTTTTAGATTTCTAAAGCTAAAATGTAATTGAAATGGGTTTTTCAAACCGGGGGAAGAAAAAGTAATTGAAAATAGTTCTAACATCACTTTAAAACAAACGCCAAAAATATAATCAGAGCAAAAAGAATTTGTTCAAAAAAATATTTTTATCTTTTTGGAAAAAAAAAAAAACTTAAACTTGGTTTTCACGAATAGCTGATTCGATTCATGATTCGATTCGCGGATCAAGAACTGCTTTGAGATTCAATTTGAAACAAAAAATGTCAATTTGCAAGGCCCTAATGTATATATATATAAATATATATATATATATATATATATATATATATATATATATATATATATATATATATATATATATATATATATATATATATATATATATATATATATATATATATATATATATATATGTTACCAACATATAACAATATTATGTTACTAACATATAAAAATATTATGTTACTAACATATAACAATACTATGCTCTCTTCTTTAAGAATATTGAGCACTCTTTGACAGTCTGTTCAACTCCTTCAGAAGGTTTATCAAAAAAATAGATAAGTGTTTATATTTATATATATATATATATATATATATATATATATATATATATATATATATATATATATATATATATATATATATATATATATATATATATATATTTAAACAATTTAAAAAATGTATTCTACAAAATAGAGTGCTCAATGTTCTTAAAAGAACAGTGCAAATTTCTGATGATTCTTGATGAAACACAGTGTAAAATGAAATAAAATTTTGTTAAGAGATTTTTTACTAATTTATTTTATATATATATATATATATATATATATATATATATATATATATATATATATATATATATATATATATATATATATATAGCCACATCGGAAAAGAGCACCATAGCAACAGGTTACACAAGTTTAATGATTAAGATTTTCTTTTAACCCTGCAAAAAAAATTGAATCCTCATATAAGCAAAAAATACAAAATAGATAAAAGGTTCATCTTGCTGAATAAATTTAAATTAAAAAATTTCTACGCTCAAAAATATTTTAAAAAAGGTTTAAAAATTGTAAACAAAAAAACTAAAGTTGCTTTAGTTGAAAGTAGATATTATTCACATTCAGAGATCTTGTATTTTATTTTTAAAATTTCTTCGTACAGCTGCAAGCTATTTTTAAAATAATTTCATGAAAAAACTAGTTAAAAGCCTATTTAATTATCTAAAATTAAACAAATTACTCGTTGTCAATGATTAGTTTCTAAAATCCTGTTACCGTAGCCATTTTAAAAAACCTTCAAAAAATGTAATTTCACTGCGCATGCGTATAATAACTTTCCTCTTACAAACGACCGTGACATACGTTATAAACATACAATGATATCACAAATTATCCATTCAACAATGCTCAAAACATTTTCCTAAAATAATTACTAATTAACAATAATTAATTATTTACTGAATCTCAATGAGCTACTTAGAAATAAAAAGCAGGGTAAAAGATGTTTACTATGTTATTAAAACTCGAATGAAAAAAAATAATTTAATATGTTTCCGTTTTCAGAACAGTTCACGGCTTCTACCATTTCGAATGGTGTGATAGCATTACAATCACGTGACAACCTCGAGACTTTTCTGAGAACAAAAAATTTATTCCTTTCTAAATGTCATAACTGATTTATTAGAACTATTGGTAGCTCCGTTTTTACCCAGGTGTTTTTACCCTAGGTAAAAATGGTACTTCGTTTTTACCCAGAATAGGCAACCGTTGAAGGGCGAGGATGTTTGAAGGATGGCACAAGAAATCCTTATGGTCTTATCACCCACGGTCGTTTACAAGCGCTATGTTTAGGTACGCATGCGTGAGAAAATACGAAAAACTTTTGAACTTTTAAAATGGCTACGGTTCTTAACTACAGAGTATATTTTATATGGCAACCGTGTTATTTGTTATTTGATTTCTGAAAACTCTATGTTGTAGCCTTATTTTTAATGTAGATCAGTATATTATTATAAAAATTTCACAAAAATATAAATAAAAAAAGGATAAAAAATATCTTAGAGTACTTAAACTTTATTTTCAATTAACAAATTTTTAGTGAAAATTATAGATTTATTTATTTGAAATCAATTTTCATAAAATCAGACTGGAGGATTTCAATAATTTTTTTTTTAAACTTCAGATAAATATGTTGTATATTTATGATATTTTTCTGGTCACTGCTTCAACTTTTTTTCAATATAAAAATTTGTTTTTACTGTTATGACTATTTATAAATGTATTTACTATGTGTGTGTAAAATAATAAACACACATAATGCGTATTATTACACACACACACATATACATTTATGTGTGTATGTATGTATGTATGTATGTATGTATGTATGTATGTATGTATGTATGTATGTATGTATGTATGTATATATATATACATATATATATATATATATATATATATATATATATATATATATATATATATATATATATATATGTATATATATATATATATATATATATATATATATATATATGTATATATATATATATATATATATATATATATATATATATATATATATATATATATATATGTATATATATATATATATATATACATACATACATACATACATACATACATACATACATACATACATACATACATACATACATACACACATATATGTATATGTGTGTGTGTAATAATAAGCATTATGTGTGTTTATTATTTTACACACACATATAATATATATTTGTATATATATATATATATATATATATATATATATATATTATATATATATATATATATATATATATATATATATATATATATATATATATATATATATATATATATATATATATATATATATACATGCTTCTTTACCTGAAATTTGCATATATTTAAATTTGCATATATTTAAAAAAGCATGTATGTATATATATATATATATATATATATATATATATATATATATACACATGCTTTTTTACCTGAAATTTGCATATATTTTTTTGCAGTAAAATTTTTTGGAAGTAATATAAAAAAAAAGTTATTAAAGACCTGCTTGTTATGATGCAAGCATGCATTTTTTTAACTGTATAAGTGCATATATTTGCATATATACTGTTTAAATGCATATATTTGCATATTTATACTTAAAAAATAGGGAAAGTCTAAGCATAAGAGTATTCTTTTTTACTGCATTTTTTACTTTTTTGTTGCAATATTCAACAAACTTAGTACAAAGTATAATAAAATATTTTAATTTAATAATAATCTCTAAGCAATTTAACTTGTAAATTAATTTTTTTTATAATAATTTTAGTTTTTAGTTATGTTAATATTGATTAGATTTATCTGACTTGCTAAATATTTACAGTTAAACAAAAACTGCAAAATATAAATAATTTTTCGAAATTCTTCAACACATAAACTAATGAAGGAAACATTTCTAAAAGTAGTTCTTTATTATATTTACAGGTTGATCATTATTTGTGTAATGCTTTTGTGACATAATTATCATAGATTTTTTACTAAAGTATACATAGCAAAAGTTTCATCTGCAACTAGTTTTTGCACAACTTATGTTAAAAAATTGTGCAAATCTTGTATTGAAGCTATTTTTAAAATTACCAACTCTGGTTTGCGAACGACAATTGATGAAAATGAAGCTTCTGGGAGATCACAAATGCTATTACTGGAATATAACATTAAGAGCAAGAAATCAAACAAAACATTTTAGACAGATAAACATGTGAAATTTTATGGAAAAAATTTTGGGAATTATTATGTTTTTTATTTCTGCTACACCATACATAGTGCAGCAGAAATAAAAAGCAAAACAAAGACATTTCGTTTTTTATTTCTGTTACACCATAACAGTTTTTTTATTTCTGCTACACCATAGCAGCATAAGCTTTAAAAAAGGATTAAAGAAATATATTTTGTTACACTACATTATCTACTTGTTAATATAAGACTGCTTTGTATTAAAATATAATAATGCTTAATATATGTTATTCATAATTTAAGCCCTTAATATATATATATATATATATATATATATATATATATATATATATATATATATATATATATATATATATATATATATATATACTTGTATGATAGCTGTGATAATATACTTGTTTGTCAACTTGCTTCTCGTGCCACGGACTTGTTCATGTTTCGGAGTTATAAAAAGAGTTGTAATCACAAAAGTAGCCTCCTCGACTGTAGTCGGTGTAGAGGTGAATAATTATATATATATATATATATATATATATATATATATATATATATATATATATATATTATATATATATATATATATATTACAAACAAATATTAGCAATTTAGCAGATTTCTGGTTCTGCAGGTAAAAGTAACATAAAAAGTGTTTATTATTAAAATACAATGTTAGCAATTTTGATTTTATGTGGCTTTTTAAATATTTAATTCAACACATGATTGGAACCGTAAGTGCACTGTATTATTATCAGCTTATTTATTACTAAGATAAATTTTTAAATTTATTTAGCTATATGTTATAATTTATTATTAATTTTATTAAAGTTACCTAATATTTTTTAATCCAGTTAGAGCATAAAAATAAAATTGTTCACACTGCGTTTTGATGATAAATACTTTATACTTATAAGTTCGTCCCAAAAACAATATTTAAAAAAAATATAGCTGCTACCTCCTAATGTATTTTATATGATAAAAAAACACTGATTTTAAAATTTTTTTGAAGAAAAAATATTTTTGGAGTCCCATATAATGGAAACATATAATGAGTTCCTAATATTATCAATAAAAAAATCTTTAAAAGTGTCTTCAAAAATCTTCAAAAATCTAAAAATTTTTCTTCGCCAAAAAATTGTTTGAATAAAAATTTTTATTTGGAGTCCCTCAAGACCCTTAAACTTAAATGAGTTTCTAATATTATCAACAAAAAAAAAATCTTCAAAAGTGTATATATATATATATATATATATATATATATATATATATATATATATATATATATATATATATATATATATATATATATATATATATATATATATATATATATAATCAGAAAAATAGTAATTAACAAAATAATTAATGAAATTGCACTTGGATATATAAGGAAATAGTCATAACAGTAAAAACAAATTTTTATATGGAAAAAAAGTTGAAGCATCAACCAGAAAAATATCATACATAAAGAACATATTTATCTGAAGTTTAAAAAAAAAATTATTGAAATCCTGCAGTCAGATTTTTAGAAAATTGATTTCAATTAAATAAACAAATCTATGATTTACGCTAAAATAGTATTAAATAAAAATAAAGTTTAAACGCACAAAGATTTTTGTTACCTCTGTTTATTTATATTTTTTTATGAAACTTTTGTATTTTTATATTGATTTACGTTAAACATAAGGCTACATCATTGGCTTTTCAGAAATTAATTAACAAATAATCTGTTGCCATATAAAATATTCTCTGTAGTTAAGTACCGTAGCCATTTTAAAAGTTCAAAAGTATTTTCTTACGCATGCGTACCTAAACATAGCGCTTTTTACTAATATCTAAACGACCGAGCACCGCGGAAGAACATTAGGAAGTTTACGCCTCTCCTTATCAATGTCGCTTAACTAACCGGATCCAGCATCGAACCTCTGGTGTCGTTGTTCTGAGCCATTACGGTGACCACTGCGCCACGCTGCCTAATTAAATAAAAGAAAAAATATATCACGCTAATTTTTTTGTATGTATGTCAGAGAAAGAAAATTTGTCTGCCGCATTGTTTACACTGTGCTGTTTGTAAAATTAATTACACTGTGTTCTATGCTGTTTGATAAGGATAAAGTGATTTTAATAATTATTATTAAAGCAAATATTAGCGAAAACATCATCAGAACTTTCAGGAGAAAAAAATAATTTAAGAAACCAGAAACGATAACAACAACATGGATAAGCTTCAGACATGGATAAGCTTCAGACATGGAATGCTTGGCTAAAGAAAGTCTGGAGACACAAGAAAGAAAGAGATTTTCTTGTGCTTTTAAACTTTAAGTTTAGCAAAGAAAAAAAAAAGGAAAAAGCACTTATTGTTTTTTATGTCTTTTTTTAAACAAATCTTTATAAAGTATGATTCTATTTTTGAAACTTTTATAAAATTTTGCTTCTTTTGAGTATCATGTTGGCATATTTTTGAAGAAACCCAATTATGTTTGCGGATGATACAAACCTATTTCTTTCCAACAATAGTATCAAACAACTATATGCAGAAATGAATCTTGAATTAAATAAGATAAATGATTTATGGTTTATGGCGAATAAACTTTCATTAAACGTTGAAAAAACAAAGTATAGCTTGT